GTACCACGGCCCCTTCTAAACCCAGCCTGGCAGTTCTCTGCTGATGTGCTGTTTCAGTCATTTTTGGATAATCTTCAGTAGAATCTTGCTTACATGTGGTATCAATGATATTGCTTGATAATTTTCACACTCTGTAGGGTTACCTTTCTTTGGAATGGTAACAAATATAGATCTTTTCCAGTCAGCTGGCAAAAGGTTATCCTTCAGATTTCTTGGTGATGAGCACATCTAGGGCAGCATCTGTTAGCTGAAATATGTCAATTGATATACCATCTATCCTTGGGGCCTTATTTTTTGTCAATTCCTTCAAAGTAGCTTGCACTTCTTCTTTCATCACCATATGCTCTTGATCATATGTTGTTTCATGAAAGTCATCTGTGTCTTCCAATTCCTTTCAGTACAGTGACTCTGTATATTCTTTCCACCTTTTTTTAATACTTCCTGGATCTTTTAATATCTGTAAGTATAGCAACTTGTGGCTTGAATTTGTTCTTCAGTTCCTTGAGCTTAAAAAACGCTGAGTGAGTTCTGTCCTTTTGATTTTCTGACTCCAGCTCCTTGCACATTACATTGTAATATTTTACTTTGTCTTTCCACACTGCATTTTGAAATTTTCTATTCAGCTTTTTAATATTTTGAATTCTTCCCTCTGCTATGGTTTCGCTGCACTCTAGTACAATATGCAGAGTCTCTTCTGACATCCATTTTAGTCTCTACTGCGTTTTTAGCCTTTGTATATCATACACAGCATCATTGTTCTTCCCCTGAGGCTTATTTTCTTTCTTGAATTTTGTCCCCTCTATTTGCCGGTAGACTGCTATTTAAATATCGAGGATATAGCAGAGAAAATTAAAGAACATCAGTACTTTAGACATAAAAACCTTTCATTGTTGTCAGGTTAAAACAGACTCTTTCCTGGCTCTCCAGCAGGTTTTGGGAGGCTGTAAATCCCATTAGTGGAATTTGTCTTTCTCCTGTGGAGCTGCGGGTGGATTTGAACCATCATAGAGGCACTGCCTTTGAATTAACAGTGAGTGCAATTAATTCCCTATAGAGTAACCCACCAGGACTTTCTTAGCTATAATGATGCAATGATTTAGTGTATAAATTTTATTCAAAAAATGATTTTATGTGGAAAGTAGTGACATATACTAGGAAGACAAAATCTTAAAGCTGTAAGGCCATAGTTCAAGACTCAACTCTTCCATACACTAATGACTCAGATAGGTCTCTTTACTCCCATTGCTGTTGCTCATCTGTTTTGAAATTGAAAATAATAGTCACTAAACTACAACTTCACAGAGTTTTTTCTGCAGGTCAAAAACAACCAAAGTGGGGCTATCCCTTTGAAATACAAAACAGACGATAGATGCAAATTGTGCCTCTTACCTTATGACACTGAATGTTCTCTTGCTTGCTGGGAATCTTTCCCAATCAGTGCCTGCCCTCTTCAAGTCACCTAGATAGTGATTCCATCTCATCTACTGGAAGACGTATCACATTTAGCCATTCATATGACATATCAGTTGCTATTTCAATTTCTTCTTCCCTTCATTTAACAAATATTTGCTGAGCTGCCTTCTATGCCTCCAGAACTCAACTATGCACTGGGGAAAGATATAAATAAATTATAGCTCCTTCTGATCTATATGAATAGTTAAAATAAAGCCCAGTACTCTCAAACTAGTAAATCCATGCTGAAATTCAAACACACCCCTTCTTGTCTTAAGTTATATCTAGTCTCTAGTACTATACTGTCTGTGCAATGTTTGCATTTTCTGAGTCCAAATTCAACAAGTCTATGTTTTTATTGTTTTTCTGTGTGAAAACCAATTCCAACTCACCAATATTAGCAAAATTTAAACATATATATATATATATCTCCTTCTCTTTTCTCCTTCTCTTTGGAGGCATTAGTAATAATATTTTCAATTTCTTTTAAGCATTATGTCTTGGATTCATTCCAATTCCACTATTACTCCCATGTGATGCTCAGCACATCATGTCCATTCTCAGCACATGTGCTGGAATAAACTTGCACCTACATCTGTTTCCAGGTTCTTCCCACTCTAGCTTGTCAGCTATGGTACTGATGTTCCTACCTTGACTAATCTAAGCCCACAGCAACACCTCTTGTTGCTCTGAATCTCCTTAGCACCTCGGTACACAATGTTAAGCACGCTCTCACATGTGCCTTAAATTATATCTCCTAAGTGGCAAAGACACACCTCTAGTATCTGTGGTAATATCTTAATGAATATAACTTCTTTCCTCAAAGAGGAGGGCTCGAGAATTAATTTTATCTGAATTGTGGAAAAGACCATTTTATAAATCAGTAGAGGACAGGCTGTGAGGTATGAGACAAAGCATCTTTCAATCAACTGTGGGAACATAGATCCACAAAGTAAGGGACACCTTTGAGATTTCTTTTCCTTCTGTTAATGGCACCTTGTTGGCAGAAGTAATGAGATTCTAACGTCCTCAAATAGATAGAAGATAAATAAACATCTTTTTTTTTTCAAAATAAAAACGTTGCAGCTCAGGTTTGTTGGGTGTTTTTCTTTTCGTTTTTCCTCATTGCAAAATCAATATCCATCAGCAGTTTGAAATTAAAGGAAAGATTAGGCCTTAGTTTTACACATGCCTTATTTTATTCCAAAAGCTTTCTATGCAGTCAGATAAATCTTCTCTAAGAGGATTAAGAAACTTTCATTATCTTTATCTAACCTGAACTAACATTCACTCTGAAAAATTAATCTACAGACTGGACAAAAGCTGATAGATGCTGGGAAGAAGAAGGACTCTAGTGTTTCTTTCTAATTGAGCACTGGAGTCTCTGTTTCAACCAAGCCACCAAGGCAGAAGAGAATCTATCTCCAGAGCACCCCCTTTCCACTTCTCTATGAATATAAAGACCAATCTGGTCCAAGGTGTCACTTTTCATTATCTCCTGCTCTAGTCTTTTTGGTTCCACAGACTGTCACAGATGGACCTGAGCCACAAGATCCTCTTGACCTGGAGCATAGGGATTGTAAATAATTAATGTGCAGCACTCAAAGCTCCACTGCTTCACTTTTCCCCTCTCCAGACTCTGTCAGACTGAGAGCTAAGAGCCCCAAGGAGACCAGCTGTCCCCTCAGGCTCAGTACCCAGACTCTTTTTTGGCACAGAAGGACTATAACATGTTCATACAACCTTACTTCTGGAAAAGCAACTGTCCTATTCTAATTGAGTCTGTTTGTGCATAATTCTTTTTTTTTTTAATTTCAGTGCCATATTCCTGAATTCAAGTTCAACTGTTGTCAAGGCCATAAAGGTGGCAATGAAGTATCACTTTGCATTATAAGGTTGTTCAGCACATGTGGTAGGTGGGGAAGTAAGAACTCATGTCCTATTGTGTTTTATAACTGTAGCAACTACCAACAGACACCTCAGCTTATCTCAGAAGAGTGCTCTCTCCAAGTGTCTCTACCATCCTCCCAGGAGATGAAGCAGACTCTGACAGTTGTCCCTCTTACAGATGCCAGGCAGGCCTATAGCTCCAAAGTTGAGGTCATCATCAAGTCATACCCCAGGGTGGGATATACATGGAGAATAGAATACAGCAGAAATAAAACACCTGTCATAGGATAGCCTGGTTTAAGTATCTGAAAACGCATGGAGGCCAGAGTGATACTTTAATTCTGCACTGAGGGAAAGCTTCAAGCCACGTAAATGTACCAGGCACAGAAATTGCAGCTGACAAATCTCTTGCCTAGCACATGCCATTACAAATGGCCCACTTGTAGAGAGCAAAATCCCACATCTGTGAGCCTATGAGGAAGATAGCTGAATGCTAAGCTCACAAAGAGCTGCTTTAGACAAAAGATAGACTAGTTATCTCAAACTACACAAATAACTGAAGCATGAATAAACATTAATTCTTAACCAAAGTTTGTCCATGACATGTCAAAAAACAAACAAACAAAAAACCCACAAAAACCCAGTATGCTTTCATATGCCACAATTGGGTGAAGACAGTATGTGATGCAATGCTTAATTTCATAAATTAAAAGAAATTATTTGTACAATATAGGGCAAGTAGGATCTGGTAAAATACAACTAGTAAAGGAAGAATAGGCCCCACAATATCAGCACTGAGGATTTTAAGACCTAATCAACCTTCATCTTACAGGTTTTTTACATGACGAAGAGCTTGGATTAGTTCAAGTTGGACTTCCCTCCTTGTGTTCATGTGCTCAAAAATGCTTTCACCATGAACTATAAATTTTACTATTTAATAGCTGCTATATAAGGTTCTAACATTTTTCCAGCCCTTTTTCTACAAAGTGATATTTAAGATAGGTTGTATGTGACACTGTGCCTGGGTTATATTGATTCTGATCTTAAAAGAATACTAAAACACAATGGTAGGGTTTCTGTACCACTTCTATTTTTATCCTATAGATTTTTGTTCAATGTGTACCAAAACATGTCATTTGACATACGTATCCTATATTCCACTTAGAATTGAGAAAATACAGATATATGTCCAATGATGCTGCAAAGGACTGAGCTAAGCAGCACTGTTTATCAACTATGCCCCCCAAAAAATCACATGCCACATGATTTACCATCAATATTATGACAAATTTATTGTGAAATAAGTCTCTGAAAGATAATTAAAAGATAATAAGAGTGGAACATATCTATTCTTGAACATATCTTTCCCCAATACCAGACTGCTAGACTTAAGAATATACAACCGCTATTTGCCAAAATGATTTATTAACAGAAACAGAGGATCCAGTGTTAAAATTGAGACATTTTCTGAGTATATTCAGTGTATAGTTTAGTAGATAACTTCATATCATATGATATAAAATCCAGGAGATAACCTCAACTTTCTATTCAAAAGAGGAAATGATGTTTTGTGTCTTTCTGCATTAATAGTAGCATACAGATTGCCTCTATCTTATTCATGAAAGGAATTCCAAGCCCCAAATTCACAAATAACTTACCTTGCACTATTAGGTGGACTCTGGAAGTTTTGGGATGATTATCTGTCTGCACTGAACAGGTATATGGACCTTCATCGTACACATCCACATTTTGGATCATGATGCTATACTGAGTTGGTGTGTTGACCAGGATGATCACACGAGGGTCTATGGACCACTTGTCATTGCCAGCATAGAGAATTGTACTCCGGTTTAGCCAGGCCACCCGGGTGACACGATCATCTATGGTACACCTAAGAGTAAGGAAGTAAGAGAGAGGAGAAAGAGATTGAGCTATTGAGAGATGATAAATGTGGATGAACCTGCAGAAGAAATAAAATAACAGAAATCAGTGCTCAAAGGAGATACTTAGTCATTGAGCTTCCTAAATACAGGATAACTCTTGTTCTGAATCACACTAAAGAACTGATCATACAACATAATTTCTATTTGCTTGAAAAATGTATTACGTGAATATGTTGGCTATATATTTGCTTTGCATCCTATTTTCCCCCTAGGCTTACATAAAAATTAGTTTATATTTCATGAGCACATTTAGCACCTTGTGGGAGAAGTGGCTCAAGGGCACAGAGAAAAGAAATTGGATCAGTATTTCAAATAGGTCAGGGATAATTCACAGAGTAAATACTTAACTTCTAGTTAATGAAAAATGGGACATATTTACTTTGAGACTACGGTGATTCTGATAATCTTCCTGTGCCCTTAAATTACTTAAACCCATCAAACTATGATTTATATAATGAGTCAGCAAAAATTACTACAAAAGCAAAGTATGTGAAATCTCTGCCTATTGCCTAATTCTTTAGAAGGGAAAAGAATATTGTTGGCAAATTTTATTCATTCTTTCCTACCCTAATTAAGAGAAAAAACAAAGTCGTTCACATCATTATTATTATAAAGAGAAAGAACTAGTAACTTTCTTTCATCTCTTCTATTCTAAGCCTCAGGCTTATAAATACAAATACAAACTGCATTTGCTTTTTGGTAGGTATGACCTGCAGACTGAAGGAACCAAGGAAGCACAATGGTTAAACGTCTGAGTGCTAATCAAAGTCCAGTGGTTCAAAGTAAAAACATAATCCTAATACTCTGTTCTCTTGAAGATATTATCCTAGAAAACCTTATAGGGAAGATCTATTCCATCTTCTAAAGTTACAGTGAATCAGAATTTACTCCAAAGCAAATTACCACAAAAGCGTGCCCTGTAAGATAGCAATTCAGTGCATTGTAGTCTCACTGGAACTAATTCATAACTTCCCCACAAGTAAGTTTTCGGAGGTTGTATATTTCATGAGAGGAGATTATTTTTCTCACATGGAGCTCCTGGATTTAAACTACTTGGTTTTGGATTGGCAATGAAACTCGCTATCCACTAGACCGCCAGGGCTATTTTAGAAGCTAGAGGACCTGTTTATGCAGAAAGAAAATGTTAAAGATTCTTCTAAGTACCTAAATGATGTGGATGATAACTTAAAACAGAGATCTTCCTAAGGGCCTGCTTAAATTGAAGTGCATGGTTCAGGTGTCCTGAGTGTCCCTATCCATTACTCAAAGAAGGAAGCAGTTGAAATCTCAGTTGCTAGGAATGAACACATGAGAATTGTAAATATGGCTAATAATCTCATCTCCATTAACAAACTAACAAAGAGGTGATTGTTGCAAAATACTTTTAATTGACTCTGACTCATAGCAATGCTACAAACAACAGCTACACGTTTTGTTCTGTCCTGCAGCATCCTCCCAATCTCTGCCATGCTCAAGCTCATTGTTGCAATCACTGTGTAAGCATTTTCAGGAAGACCTTCCTCTTTAATCACCCTCTACTTTTCTTAGCATGATACTTTTTTTCCAAGGACTCGTGCCTCTTACAATCTGCCATAAATAAGTGAAATGAAGTTTTACCATCCTTGTCTCTAAAGAGTAACCTGATTCACTTCTTCTGGGGATGATTTTCTTGTTCATTTGGTAGTTCATATTATCTTCAATACTTCTTCCAACACCACTATTCAGAAAAATCTATTCTTCATTAATTTTCCTTATTTATTGTCTGACTTTCACATACATACAAAGCAATGGAAAATATCGAGGTTTACAACAGGCACACCTTAGTCTTCAAATGAACATCCTTATGTAACTTAAACAATTGAAAGAGGTAGGTCCTTGACAGCAAATTTTCCCAAAGTAGCATAAGGATATTCCTTGGAGAAGAGAGACATAGACCTAGTAATTCCAGATGAGATTAAAAAAAATCAATATCAGAACAAAAGGACAGGTTTATCTTTGTAGGATATAAAACTGATTCTACACTGTCTTCAAAGACCCTGAGGAGGCTCAGAACACATTTTGGTTGAGAGCCTTGAAGTATTGTAATATGAACAGAGAAAGTGACAGCTGTCATTAAAAGGGAAAATACATATCATAGATATTATCAAGAGGTAGGAATCTATGGAATACCAATTGACATATTTCAACTAACAGTTGCTTCCCTGGATGTGCTTGCCAAATTGTGCCAAGAAATCTGGAGAACAACTACTTGGTGAACTGACTGAAGAGATCCATATTTATTCTCATTCCAAAAAAATAAAAAAAGGTGACCCAACAAAGTATGGAAATTATTGAAAAATATCACTAATATCAAACACTAACACAATCCTACTGAGGATTATCTAAGAAAGACTAGAAAATACATTGATAGAGAACCTCCAGAAAAACAAGCTGGATTTAGAAAAGGCCATGCGATAGAGATATTGTTGCCAAAGTCAGATGGATATTGTCAGAAAACAAAGAGTAACAGAGGAATGTCTATCTGTGTTTCATTCACTATGCAAGACGTTTGACTGTGTAAATCACAAGAGATTGAGGCAGACCTTGAGAAGAATAAGAATCCCAGAACAATTGATTGTACGTATGCTAAACCTATACTTGGACCAGGAAGTAGTCCTCAGAATAGAATGAGCAAACACTGCATGTTTCAAAAATAAGAAAAGAAATGTGTCAGGGATGCATTTTGCCTCCATGTCTTTTCAATCTATATACAGAACCGATCATTCAGGAAGCCAGGCTTTATAAGGAGGAATTTAGCATCAGGATTGGAGGAAGAAACATGAACAGCGCATGTTATGTAGGTGACACAATCTTGCTTGCTAAAATTGAGGAAGATCTGAAATACTTGCTGCTGAAAGTCAAGGACTATGGTCTTCAATATGGATCGAAGCTCAACATCAAGAAGACAAAGATTCTCACCATTGAGATAATTGGCAGCACCATGACAGATGGAGAAGAGATTGAGGTTGTTAACAATTACAACTTGATAGGCTCCACAATCAACACTTCTAGCACCAGCAGTCAGTAAATCAAAAGACGAATTTCACTGGGAAAATCTGCTGTCAGGGACCTCTTCAGAGTATTGAGAAGCAGCGATGTCAGTTTAGAGACTAAGGTGTGCTTGAGCCAGGCCAAGGTCTTTGCAATTACTTGTTATGCATCAGAAAACTGGACAACGACTGAGCGTGTCAGAAGAAGAATTGACTTGTGGTGCTAGAAAAGAGTTTCCAATATTCCACTGACCACCAAGAAAACAAATAAGTCTGTCTCAGAAAAGATGAAACCAGGTTTCTCCTTGGAGGCTAGGATTTTGAAGTTCATCTCATATACTTTGGGCACGTGCCCAGAGGCCACCAGTCTTGGAGAAGGGCATCATGCTCAGAAGGGTGGAGGGACAGCACAAGAGAGAAAGACCTCAGAGGAAGATGTGATGGATTGATACAGTAACTGGGGCAATAGGGATAGGTGCGTGGGCAGGCATAGATCTGTTGCAAATAGAGTCTCTATGAGTCACAGGTGACTCAACATCATATAACAACAACAACAGACTGGACTGTGAGAGAAGAAATTAAATTATGTCCACCTCAACATTTTGTTATGCCATAAAAAAGAAAAAAATTATGGTGTTCCAGCTTCCACCATATATCTCTTTGCTAGACAATTTTCCTTGACCAAATCTCAGTTTTAATCCTAAAATAAAGCTGGCCCAGAAACTGCACACCACCAAAGTTCAAAGCTGGAAAGCCACGAATCAGCTCAAGAATTCACAGGCCATGGCACTTATGCCTGAGATGAAATAAACAACACTTCAGACACCAGTAAAACTGACACCAGCAATGAAAGAGTTTTTCTTTTTCTTAAAAAAAACCAAACCCTAACATATAAAAAACAAACAAACAACAAACAAACAACAACAACAAAAAACCAAACCAAACCTGACACCAGCAGAACGGGGATGCCTTTCTATAACAGACAAGGAGCAAAGGACAAATATAACCTTGGCAGGAGATAGCCATGTGTTACACCAGCTACTTTTGCTCCTGTATCACTGGAGCAATGCATGTGCTCAGCTATTGTAATTAGCCAATACCACATAGGCTTTCTTAGATCCTTAGTAGAAATACTTACGGTGGCAGACATCTTGGAAGAACTATGCATGTATCTAATTACCCAAAATACCAGGAGCTGGTCTGGAGTGAGATGAGCCATTTCCTCCGTTGTGACTTATCTCCTCAGAAACTCCTTAGAGGATCAGCTATAAAATGCCCAGAATCAAGGGCAATGAATTTTTAGGAGCTCTTTCAATCCCTTCAACAAGCTGGACTTCATGAAGAAGAACGGAACATCAGAATTGAAGGTAAACTCATCAACAGCCTGTTTCATACAGTTGATACAGCTTTGCTTGCTGAAGACAAGGAGGACTTTAAGTGTTTTCTCCAGAAGATTAACTAAAGCTTTCAAATTGAATTACATATAAATATTTTAAAAATATATGCTAAATTAATAAATAAGTTCCATTTTATTTAAAAGAAAAAATCTCTACCCTGAGCCAACAGGCAAAATACTGATAGATGCAGAAAACACTGATGTTATCAATAATTTCACCATGCTTGGATCCACAACCAATATCTTCGGCATCAGCAAGCAAGGAATAAAAAGAAATAATGCATTGGCAAAGTCTTCTGTCAAGGATTTTCTCCAAAGTGTTAAGAGAAATGATGTCAGTTTAAAGACAAAAGTACAACTGATAGAAGCCACGGTCTTTTCAATCACTCATCATACATTTACCAAGGACTTGGCAAAAAAAAAAGGGCCCAGGAACTGATGGATTGCCAACTGATATATTTCAATAAATAGATGCTGCCCTGGACGTACTCACCAAGTTGTGTTAAGACATCCAGAGGACAAC